TGACCCCAGTCTTCAGGACCTGACCCCAGTCTTCAGGACCTGACTCTAGTCTTCAGGACCTGACCCCAGTCTTCAGGACCTGACTCTAGTCTTCAGGACCTGACCCCAGTCTTCAGGACCTGACTCTAGTCTTCAGGACCTGACTCTAGTCTTCAGGACCTGACCCCAGTCTTCAGGACCTGACCCCAGTCTCCAGGACCTGACTCTAGTCTTCAGGACCTGACCCCAGTCTTCAGGACCTGACCCCAGTCTCCAGGACCTGACCCCAGTCTTCAGGACCTGTGGTCCAGCTCAGGCTGGCTGCAGCCTTCATGTCACTGGGAGCTGACGGGTCCAGAACTGGGACCTGAGGTTCTACTGGACATAAAGTTGGATCTTTGAGAAGTTCTGCCTGCTGTCCCCTGTAGTTCTGCAGGGGTAGGTGGGCCCCGGTCTGACCCAGGTCCCGGTGCAGCTGGAGCTCAGGTTACCTGTGGTTGTTGGGGGATGTTAAAGCCGGGGTCTCGGGGTCCGACGCTGACGAAACGCTGGGCCGGAGACGTGGTGGGGGTGGAGTACGCTGCAGGACACAGAGAAGACGTTAGCTTAGCATAAAGACTGGAAGCGAAGGGAAAGTGTTAGCCTGGCCCTGCTGATGACAGAGACGTCCTGTAGACCAGGGTCAGGGGGATTTAATGATGGGGCACTCACTGGGGGAGGTGGGGGAGCTTCCTCCCCCCTCTGTGGACGAGGTGGACGGTGGCTTGGTGTCGACGGGCAGCGGGACGGGCCGGGCCATGGGAGGAGGAGGGGGTGGAGGCAGCATGGGCGTGGGCAGGAAGGGGTTGTGGACCTTCCCCTGGGAGCTGCCGTTGGGCTGAGGAAGAGGAGGAGGAAGAGTCAGAATCTGAAGCTGCTGCTGCTGCTCTTTACACAGTTTGATTAGTTCTGTCCATCCAATGACTGAACATGAAATTCTGTCCAAAACCAAACAAATATAAAATAAGTAAATAAATTAAAATGTTGGACGCAATTAAGAGAAAACATTTAATCCAGAACTCATTCAGAATTTATTCATATCTTTTGTCCTAATGTTTTCAGTTCTTTAGCTCTGAGTGTAATTATAACCTGACAGCAGGAACTGGAAAATATCTGAAGACATCATGAAGGATGGAGGGAGCAGAAAATATATTATAAAATAATTAAAGTTTACAGGTTTCTCTTCTAGGTTTTTAGTTTTCTCCTCCAGTTGAAACACATCTGAGTACTCAGTCTGCACCATGCTCCACCTCTTTTTTGGGTGAAACCAAAGCCCCACCTCTTTTTGGGTGAAACCAAAGCCCCACCTCTTTTTGGGTGAAACCAAAACCCCACCTCTTTTTATGTGAAACCAAAGCCCTGCCTCTTTTTTTGGTGAAACCAAAGCCCTGCCTCTTTTTTTGGTGAAACCAAAGCCCTACCTCTTTTATCTGAAACCAAAGCCCTGCCTCTTTTTTTGGTGAAACCAAAGCCCCACCTCTTTTATCTGAAACCAAAGCCC